TAAAATTATGGAAAAAAAAATCAGAAAGAAGCTGGGGAGATAGCTCAGTGGTCTAAGCACCAGCCTGGCAAGCACAAGGACTGAGTTAGATCTCTGATACTGAATGATGTGATGCCCCAAAATTGAGTGTGGTGACACATGTCTGTAATCCCAGGGCTGGGGAGGCTGAGACAGGAGGACCACAACATGTCTGAGCTGTGTAGCGAGACCCTGTACCAAACAAATAAATAAATATGATTTTAATTTTTTTTTTAAATCTGAAAGGAACTAGGCCTGTGCAACCTGAGAGCAGATTCTCTAGGCTGTGATGCCTTGAGATGACAACAGACCTGACTGACAGCTGCACTACAACCTGATGACAGACCCACAGCCAGAACCACCACTCCCCAGTTTATGATGATAAACTACATAAGAAGCTGTGTGCATGCCTGTAATCCCAGCTACTCAGGAGGATGGAAAGTTCATACCCAGCCTGGGCAATTTAACAAAACCCCATCTCAAACTAAAAAATAAAAGGGGCTGGAGGTGTTGCAAATTACTTGAGCTAAATCCCCATTCCTGTAAAAATAAAATAATGAGTATTATTTCTAACTGTTCTGAAGTACATCTCAATAACATCAGTTTTTCCGAATGAAATTCTCAAAAACACCAGTAGCACTAACATACTCTCTAGAGAAAATCAAGCCACACATGGGGCCACACATTGTAATCCCAGCACCTGAGAGGCTGAGGCAAGAGGATCACCACAAGGGCAAGGCTAGCCTGAGATACAGCGTCCAAAGCCAACTTTAACTATAGCCCCCTCTCAAAAACAAACAACAAAATCAAGCTTAGTTGATCACTCACAGTTTAAAAAAAAAAAAAAAGGAAGAGGAAGCTTTTAAGATATCAGGTGATAGATAGTTAAGTAGCTACAAACCTCACCATTTTAAAAATTTCAATCTGTTCTTACTTTCCTGACTGGGAGAGTACCACGTGGGAACTGCAGGTGGCTTAGAACAAGCATTTGCCACGCACCATCTCAGGCAGCTCTGGCATATTACATCCCACTAGTGAAACTACTGTTTACAAGGATAAGAAGTAATATGAGCAGGAAAAACAAAAGGAATTGGAGCCAAGCTCAGCGGGTGAGGGCATTACCTTCACTTTCAAGGTCTTAGGCTGGAGAACGATACGTGGAGGGCAGGCGGTATCTGAAAGTATACCCTCGGGATTTTTTTTTTTTTAAAGCTAACATTTTCATAGTAACAAGACCTTAGGCTTACTTAGGGATTCCGTATCTGTTAAGTATCTGGCAAATGATGACTCACTTAGTATTCCCATCTTTTTCCACGGTTATGATTTTGGAACTGAGAAAGAGATCAAATTTGAGTGAAGACAAAACCTATGGAATAGATTCACCACCATGCAGGTCCCCGGTCAGCATTACCATTCCTATTGAACATCCGGCTTTCTTTTCTTGCCAGGCTTCCTTCTCCAAAATCATTTTGCGACGGTGTAGAGTTTGCCTCCGCCATCGCAATGAAGACGGGCTCCCTCCTGCGTCCCCGGCACGGCTGCCTCTCCCCGTTCTTAAGAACGATGCCTGACAACAGCTGTGGCACTTGATACACACTAACTGAAGCTGACAGACGGGACGCCGTCTCCTCCCTCCTGCTCAAAGTTTCCTCGCCCGCTCAAAAACCGAGTTCCCACAGCGCTCGACCGTCCACACTCGGGACGCAGCCCGAGCTTTCGTCCTATTCTGTTCCCTGGCATCCCTGCTGGCGCCGCGCACGCAGCGGGGGCCCGACGCTGAATGAATTAATAAATGAAATGAATGAATGAATGAATGAATGAATGACACGGAGCGCAGGGAACACGCGGGCGATGCCAAGGCGGCCGGGGCGAGGCGGGCTCTGCCAAGCCAACCCGCCTCGCTCGTCAGTCCCAAACCACCCGAAGCCACCTGCAGCGCAGGCGGCGGGAATGTCGCCACCGTGCCACTCTGGAGGACGTCCCAAGCCCAGCGAAGAGGCGCGGGGCCCCAGGTCCAGCGCCAGCACTCACTGTAAGTCCGGCCCAGGGCTCGGAAGAGCAGATCGCGCTTCACGCTGACCGTCGGCATGGTGAGTCGGAGCACTGCGCCTGCGCGGACAAGCCGGCTAGTGCTTGGCGACCCTACTGAGTAGGACCGGGCCTCTATTTTTTACCGTCTGTCTTAAATATAGCCTGTCTGATTACAGCGACTTCTAATCCATTTTTGCACTTCTATATAAGTATCTTGCGAATCTAAAGACTGGAACGTATGGTAGATTTCACTATTAACGTAAATTTTTGCTAAAGAGTCAAAATTACATAAAATTATCTAGCAATTTTTGACAGGCAATAGAATGAACAGACCTGAAAGACCCGGATGCTCCTGCGCCCTGAGGCTTGGGGAACCTGGTGGGTGGGGCGAGGAAAGCGGAGCTGTTGGAGAGCCGGTCCTGCCAGGCTGGGGAAAATTACGCCAGCTGCTTAAAATCAATGGGCCAGGGTCTCAGGCTTTGTAGAAAAGAAACAAACGGTACAGCTACAAAGAGGGGGAGAGATCTGCCCAAAATTTGTGTGTTGTTTCTGACTTTGTTTTGCCGTCCTGGCCAATGAACCCAGAGCCTTCTCCCTGAGCGTCCTTTTTTTTTTTTTTTTTCTCTGCTTTGAGACAGGGTTGTGGTTTTGATATCATGAGGCAGACTGCTTCTAAAAATGCTTGCCAAAGAAAGAGGTCTGGGTTGCTTTCCTCACTCTTTGGAGTTAAGAGCCCAATTCTCTTGCACAATTTGGACGAAATGAGCAAAACGCAGTGGCAGAGCTTATTTAAGAGAGCAAAAGTGCAGAGGGAGGGAGAAGCTGGCTCTATAGAACACTGTTGGGCGGAAGAAAGACAAAAAGAAAGCAAATGGTACGCACAGCGCTAGGCCATCATGGAAGCAGCAGGCTCTTCATGGTGTGGTTGTGACCGTTTATGCTGTCCAAGTCTGGAGGAAACCCATCAGAACTTCTGCATAAGGGTCGAGAGAGGCAGCGCTGGGCTCTCAGGCCTCAGGCTGATGTCAGGTGTAGGCCGTGCTGCTGAAAGCCAGCTAGAGTTATCATAAGTCCATGTCCAGTGCTTTGGGACCTGTCCCCTGCATGTGTCTGGGGTCTTGTGCTTAACATGTCATGACTACTACCCCAGCCAGTTTTGCCACGCCCAGATCTATCTAACTTGCCAGACCACACTCCGCTTTGTGATCCCTCTGCCTCAGCTTCCCAGAGTGCTTACCTGTGTCATCAAGGCCAACCAGGCCTCAGCTTCTACTTCGTTAATCTGTCTTGCATCTGTATCTGTGTAGCTTTGTTTGAACTTTACAGCTGAGCTTTAAGATAGGCGTTGTTACAGACCTTTGGGAAGACCGTGTTCTCACTGCTTATGCTGTCAAATGGCGTTCTCAGCCCTCGGTTAGCATTGCAGATGTCCTTGTGATAGAAGAGAGAGACAGTTCCCAGCCTCATGTGTGGAGATTGTCTTCCTTGAATTCAAAACGTATTCCAAGAAATAAGGTTAAGAGTGTGCTTTCCGGGGGGGGGGGGGATTTATTGAGAAAGATATACGGAACACACTCAGGAGTGTGGGTGTTCAAAGGAATGAAGCACACGCTTTGGGAGCCAGGGAGTGGGAACTAGGGTAACTCCTGAGAGGCAGGAGCAGCCCCAAGTGGGTCACCCCTGAGGTCGCCACTCAGGGAATATTTTATAGACAAAGTCATGAGGTAGATACAACGTGAGTCAAACTAATTGCTCAGTAAGATGACAAGTATACCCAGTTATGTCGATCTGATAGTGAGGTAGAGCACATAGCAAAGGGCATGTAGATGACATAGATGATCATGGTTAATAATCTATAGCCTTAGTTTTGTCTTTAGTCTTAGTGGATGAAAGGATGGCCCACCCCTAGTGAGATAATAGTCTATTTCAATGGAAATCCTCAAAGGGTGGCACCAATTACAGTATAGCTTGAAGCTTGCATTTATCCCTTGGAGATACAGATCTGCTTGTTGTCGACTTTAATCTCGAGATCTTGCATTCAGATGTACCTTCAGGCACAGTTTTCAGGTGTTCATATCTTCTGATTGCTTGAGAGCCCAGTGCTTCCCGGACTATACATTAATTTTTATCTAACTCAGCTGCCTAAAATTTCTACTACCGGAAGTGTAACAGGCTCAGTAATGGCCTGCAAAGATAGTGAGCTTTAAACCCTAGAACCTATGTCGCTTTATGTGGAACCAGAATCTCTGCAGAGTCAAGATTTTGAGATGGCCAGGTTGTCCTGGATTGTGGAGATGGCTCCTAGGTGCACTCACATACATCTTTACGTGAGGGAGTCAGTGGTTGGAGTGTGGCAGCCACAAATCAAGGGTGTCAGCTGCCACCAAAGCCTAGAAGAAGCAGGGAGGGACAGGCCCCTTTGTGCACAATTGCATTTCGACCCCGTGAAACCTAAGTCCAGATCTTTGGTGTGTGATCTTTGGTGCTGTGAGAGATTGAACTTCTGTTTTAAACTTAAAAGTTTGTGATAAGTCTTTTCAGCAGCCATGGGAAACACATAAACCAAAACTCAGCCTTTATACTGTTCTCACTTAAACACAGGCACAAACTGTAGGACACCCCAGCTTGTAAGACAGCGGTTGAGGCCGTGCTACAGGCGAGCCCTATCCCTATCGTGGATGCTGTACAGTGAGTGAGGGCCCCCAAGGCTTTTCAGTAGAGGAGACAGAAATTGGCTAGGATTTAGGTCACTCTGATGGTCATCTAAGCAGTTGTCTTTTTTGTTGTTGTTGTTTTTTAATGTGTGTAGTATAGGATGTACAGGGTCTCGCTACGTAGATTGAACTTGTAGTGAGTCTCCTGTTTTCAGCCTCCCAAGTGCTGGGATTATAGGTGTGCGCCACCAAGCCCAGTCTCCATCACCCTCAGCATGCCCCTGGAGCGGGGCCAGCATGGCAAACCATGGAGCAAACCCCGGCAGCTGTGCTCTCCCTAACTAGGCCCTTTAGTCCCCTGAGCTGTCTGGCTGCCTGTGTCAGTTTCTCTTCATGGTCAGAGGAAGGCCATTCACTGTTACCAATGTAAAATATTGACAACATTCTGTAAATAGCAAATGTCCTTTATACTATATATAGGTTTCTACCCATGCTTGGTTTCTATTCAATTGATGAATAAAAGACTACACTTGCCTGGCAAGTGCAGGGTCCTGAGTTCAATCCCAGGTACCACACACACAAAAAAGGACTTCCTCTGAGCATTCCAAAGTGTTCTCTGCCCTCTTAACTTCAGTTTCCTTGTCTATAAGATAGGCATAATTATATACACCTTAGATAATTATTGCAAGGGTTAGATATCTCATAAATAATTGGTACAGTTCTGATCATGTCATCAGTCTTGGAAATTCAGCAACCGCCATTATTTTTATCTATGCTGCTACCCAGCGTCTGGCTAGTCTCATTCCACTGAGGAGCATTCTTCCATCCCCCACATCCCTCAACTCCTCCTTCCTGCCTTTGATCACTCCTTGTGTTAATGTGTTGTAACGGTTTGTGTCTAGGTGTCCCCCCAAAGCCTCCTGCAGTCTTGGGACAGCTTCTGGAGTTTGTGATTGATTACTGTGTGTGTGGATGCTGCACCTGCCCTGGCGCAGGTAATTTGCATTGCAATGTAAGGAGGGAAGACAAGCTAGCTCCTTGAGCTGCTGCCACCCCTCCCCTGTGCTCTTGCTCTTTGCCACCACCGTGAAAGGTTGCTTTCTGCTATGTGCTGCTCTGCCTTGGAGCCAACTGAATATGGACTGAAACCTCCAGTAACCATGAGCTAAATAAACCTTTCCTTCCTTCATTTTGGGTGTTGGGTATTTGTCCCAGCAAGGAGAGAAGAGTAGCTGAGACATGTGTCCTGTGAGTAGCTGAACTGTTAGAAAACTGGAAAATGTTGAGATGATATATCACAAAATGCACATAGATGTGCCGCTTCTATCTAATTTTAGTGCCAACCTGAGAGCTGGAATGAGTTGACAGCATTTCCTAGAAATGACAACAGTTGGTTGTTAATTTTGAAAAAAAATTGATTAGATATTGATGAAATTCAAATTATAATGAAAAACATTTTTATACCCACAAGATGGGTAAAAATTAGAAAGTCTTACAAAATCAGATGTGGGTAAGAATGTGTCAGTATAAATTGATACAGCCAGTTTGGAAAATATGTCTTTACCTAGAGAAGGGGAGGGTGATCATACCCAGCAACCCAACAATTACACTCCTACTGGCACTCTCCAGAGACATTCATACTTGAGTGCACCAGAAGTCTCAAATAAAAAGAGTTATAATTATATTGTTCATTTTAACAAAAAGCCAGAAACCTATTAATAATAGAGATGGTGAACAATTATAAATATAGAAAAATGTCCTATACTGGTAAAAATTAACTAAGATGCATTTATTTGATAAATTATCATATTGAGAAAATTAAATCACAAAAATGTATACTTTAATGCCCTTTCTGTAAGCATTAAAAATAGGCTCACTGCTCTATTTCACAGCCAGGAGGTCTCCCAAAGGCCCATTTGTTAAGGAGTTAGCCTCCACTTTCACACAACCACGAGACGGTGGGAACTGTAAGAGTAACCCTCAGTGGGAGGTTTTTTTTTTTTTTTTTAAATTTTATTTACTTAATGTGTGTGTGTGTGTGTGTGTGGCCAGCTCAGCCCACCAGGGGGCGGGGCTGGCTGGCATGTGGTGCTGGGGGATTGAACCATGGTCCCTGGGCTTTACTAAGCTTGTTTTAAGTAGGTGCTTTAGACCACTGAGCCATCTCACCAGCCCCAGTGGGAGGCTTTTTTGACGTTCCCTAAGGAAGGGTCTCTTTCCTCTCTTTTGCTTCCAGACCATAAGGGGAATGGTTTTGCTCTGCCCTACGCTCAGGTCACGATGTGGTCCCACAGGGCAAAGCAGCAAGTAGGCACATGACGGACTGAAGCTCCAAAATGGTGAGCCCAAAGAAACTCTGTAGCAACATCTACTCTGAGATATCAGGTATTTGTTATAATAATTTTTAAAAAAGCTAGTACACCAACCTGACTGTATTCATTAAGCAAGTATAAA